AAATATTGCAGTATCAGTATATAGTCAAATTATTATAGCAATAATAATTATTTTCACTTACCTATCTGCTTATTTAAATGATATGCTTTTTTCTACTTTAAGGTAAATGATAGCTTACAGCAAATGCATAATGCTAATGATGTAGGTTTATTCATTAATCGTAGTTTGTCGGATAGTGAAAAAAACATAGTAAGTTTATTAGAACCTTTTTATAATGATTTATAAAACAAAGACTATAAGCAAAATAATTATGCAATTATTCATATYTATAGTTTATAATTATAATTAATAAATTATTGAATGCTGATATGCAATCAATTCTTATTAGGTATTAACTGATCTATGGGTACCACCAGAAAATTATAAATTTCCACTATTAGRTTTATGGAAAAAAGAGGTCTACGATTCCAGTACAAATGGTTGAAAGTGTTTCCATGGCTATCCTATTCTGAAAAATTTAATGGGGCTTTTTGTAAGCACTGTGTGGTTTTTGCTTTTGCTGGTGGTATTGGCTCACAACGCTTAGGCAGTCTTGTTTTAACACCATTTCAAAATTGGAAGAAAGCTACAGATGTATTAATATGTAGAAATTATAATTTAGAAAAATGATTACTATAAAAAAATTAATTTTAGGTTTTATCGGATCATAATAATTTAGAATATCACAAAACCTCTATTTTGAAATCAGAACATTTTTTAAATATTTTTTCAAACAATGCACCTTCAATAATTGATAAATTGGACRATGAAAGGTATAATTGTAAAAATGTCAATAGGAACTTCCTATTAGGAAGTAACTTATTTGTACTTAAAAAGTTTATATTTTAAGATCAAACAGAAGAAGCAAAACAGGTTGAAATTAATTCCAATCATAGAATGTATTATCCTTTGTGGAAGACAGGAGATTTCACTCCGTGGACATAGAGATTTTGGCTCAATCAAGTTTAATAGTTAGTGCTTATGTATATTATAATACATTACATTTTGTATTAAAATTTTATGTTTAATTTAGATGAGTCTGACGGTAATAATTCTAATTTGAATGAAGGTAATTTTCGAGCTATTTTAAAATATAAAGCTAAAGACATAGATTATTTAAAAAATCATCTAGAATCTAAGTCTCGGAACAAATACATCAGTCCTCAGATACAAAATGAAATTATTACCATATGTGGTGACCTGATACTAAGTAAACTAGTAAAGATGGTAAATTCATCTCAGTGTTTTTCTGTGTTAGCTGATGAGACGACAGATGTGTCAGTTAAGGAACAGCTTACCCTGTGTGTTCGTTTTGTTAATGGTACCGGAAAAAATGCTAAGTTATGTGAGTTTTTTTTGAAGTATGTTGAAGTACATAACTTAACTGGTCAGCATTTGGCTTCGACTATTCTTGAACGTATTTTATGAATATATAAAGTGTTGTGTATAATTAATAAAATAAAATTTATTTAAATTAAAGGTTTAAATTCTTGTGGAATTGACTGCTCTAAAATGTATGGCCAAGGTTATGACGAGGCAAGTAATATGTCAGGGAAATTTAAAGGAGTACAGACTATAATACGAAATAAGTATCCTAGAGCATTATATGTTCACCGTGCTGCTCATACATTGAATTTGGCAGTGTCTTCATCGTGTGAACAACAGTAGGAACGTAGGAACTGTTTGGGTGTAATAGTAAAAATGCATTGTTTTTTTTAACACACCTAAACGTCACAGTATACTATTGGAAGCTATTGCTAATAGTGATCTTAATCCATCATCTAAATCATTAAAGCGTTTGTGTGCAACACGTTGGGTAGAGAGGTATACTGCTGTCAATGATTTTGTTGAACTTTTTCCATGTGTTGTTGAAGCATTGGACAAAATATCAACCACGTTTAATGATAAATCATCAACTGACGCCAGTATGTTGGTAAAATTCATGGATTCCGAGTTTTTAATTGCTCTTCAAATTGTTAAGGTAATCAAACATTATATTTGGGTTTTAATGATTMTTTTTGTATTTAGTTGGTTATAATTACTTATATTGTATTAATAGGTGGTATTTTTTCATGGTTTACCTTTGTGTAAATGTTTTCAAAAAAATGATATTGATTTGAAAGAAACCGTACAGTTAGCAGAGTGCAATGTATCTATGCTTGAGGATTTGAGACAAAATATTGAAAAAGAATTTAAATCAATGTATAACGAAGCTGAGGTATACTAATTTTTATTGTCCATAGAAATTATTTTTATAATATAGGAAATAGGAATAGATATAGTATATTAATTTATAAAATATAAATAGAAAATGGCAGACATTTTGGATATTAACATTTCTATCAAACGTATATTGATATATACATATATCATCATCATCATCATCATCATCATCATCATCATCATCATCAACAGCTTAACGGTCCATTAAGGACCTGCGCTGCCATTAGTAAGCCTCTCCATTTTTCTCTGTTCAAAGTCCAGTCTAACGTTGCATCCTCATCTATTAGTCTCATATCCTTTTCCACTGTGTCTTTCCATCTTGTTCTTGGTCTTCCAAGTGGACGTTTTTTATTTATTTTTCGTATCAGAACATTCTTTAATAAATCTCCATCCAYTCTCCATACATGTCYTAACTACTCTAGGCGTTTACATCTTATATATGTGAGTATAWTTGGTTTTTCATACAGGTTATACAGTTCTTCATTGTGTCTTTTTTTATATATTCCTAGGTTGTCGTTGTACACTGGCCCATATATATTTCTTAGTATTTTTCTTTCCCATATAGCAAGTTTTTTATTATTATCTTTTGTTGTGGACCGGGTCTCACACCCATAGGTTACTACTGGTCTAAGGTAGCTTGTGTACAAAGTGGTTTTAGACTTTCTTGAKAGCAGTTTTGATCTCAATAGTTTGTTTATGCTGAAGTAACATCTATTTCCATTTGATATTCTTTCTTTTATCTCCTTATGCATGTTGTTGCTGTTGTTTATATCAACACCCAAGTATTTAAAATTATCCACCTTTTCGAAATTCATACTTCCCACTTTCAGGTTTGATTGATCTACGTTTCTTCTGGATAGTATCATAAGTTTAGTTTTTTCTTCGTTGATACACAAACCCATGTTTTTGCTGGCTTCTATTAGTTTAGAGAGTGAGTGGGAAATTTCTTCTCGCGTATTCCCTAAAAKAACTATATCATCAGCATATGCTAAGATAGTTTCTTCACCAATAACTTCCATTCTTCTGTCTTCATAAGCTTCTCTAATAACTTTTTCTAGTCCCAGATTGAACAATGTTGGKGATAKGGCATCTCCTTGTCGTAATCCAGAATTAACCTCAAAGGCTGGTGATAGTGTCTGAAGAAAACGTACTTTCAGTACAGTCTTGTTATTACACATCTTTACTAAATTTACATATTTTTTCGGAATTCCAAAATGTAACATTGCTTTCCATAATTCCTGTCTGTTCACACTATCATAAGCTTGTTTGTAGTCAACAAATAT